CTCTTCCACTCTCCCTTTCTTAAGCACTCATTCTCACATGCCCCTCCTTATGCTCTTCTCCCTTTCTCTCTCGTTGTCTCTCCCCTCTTCTTCTCTCTCCCCATTTCTTTCCCCTCTCTCATTCTTGCTCTTTTCCTCCCTTCTCTCTTTCACATAGCTTTCTTTCTCTATTTGTCTTCTTTTTCTCTCTTTTCTTACCCTCCTCCTCCCTCTTCCTCTCCTCCCTCTCTCTTTTCACTCTTCCTCTCCCTCTCTTTTCCTTCTCCTTTTCTCTCTCTCGCGCTCTCTCTTTCACATGAGCTCTCTTTTATGTTTTCACCTCTTAATTAAATACTCTCTTCACCAAAATTCTCTAATATTCCCTATTGAGGGAGAAGTATATGGTTACATTTTACATTGCAGAATCCTGGAAGTGTGTAATAAGGTTTTAAACTCATCATTTTTGTCTAGAAATGCTCAATCCACAACTTCAGACAGGGAGCCTGAACCATTATTGCTACATGGCAACATAGTTACAGTAAGAAAAAATAATATTCTTATGAATAAACGCAGTTGCTGTCAAAACCCAGGCTCAGCTGGCTATTAGGAGCATAAGCCATGTGTAGTGTCCTTCATAAGCCATGAGCCACTTTCCCAGGAAGCATTAACTCTTTAGTTCCTAGAATAAAGTCCAATATATAACTCGAGTATTTTCAAGAGATTCCACTTGTAATATTTCTCCCACAACATTTATCTTGGCTTATCAAGACACTAGTAGACTGAAACAAATAAAGATCTGTAGATAAACATTGTGGTTGCAAAAATTAGTCACGTCTTTGAACTGCTGTTTCACCATTCAATAATATTGCCTGTAAAGCTTTACATATTAACAATATAACTTCAAATATACATCTGTGTTTATCTTCTGTACTAGAGGAACAAATGTTTTTAAATAATAATATACCATGTTAATTTCAGTGGTATTGCTCTGCTGTAAGTCACACTGCTATAAATTTGATTTATTCTTTAATTAATGCAGTTAAAATCAGTAATCAAAATTCATTGGAAAGATATTCAGTGCAGATCAAAGTGGCAACATCTAAAATCTAGGATCATTAGTTAGAGTGTCTTTAGTTTTACCATCTGCTTTCATTTAACTCTTGAATTATGGAATGTGGTGGTGTGTATATGTAATCCTGGCTCTTGGAGTTGTGGGATAAATGTGAAAATCTTAGTTTCTGCTAACATGTTTATATTCTTGGCGATTGGAGAAAAGGAGCCCTTACATATGCATTGTAACATAGAGTTCAAAAATTTGAATGCAAATGGAAATTATTTTTAATTCTAGCCATTATTTTGGGGGCCTAAATCATGACTCTCAAATTCTGGGAGCTGGCAGCATTGTTGCTGTTTATTTCTAAGGAATAGGATTACCTTTCTGCATCAAATCAACTTTTTCCCATGAAGAAGTAGTACTAACTATAAAACATTTTTATAGTTTATATAGAAATTTTCATGGTTTATAGTTTCCATTGTTTTCAGAGGAATTTTCATGTAGTATTCTGGTGGAGATATACACCTGATTTTACTCATTCTGAGCAGTTAATGTTCATTTTTGCTTTACCCTCAGCTTTACCCCTGCCAATCTGTGGAATCTAAGCCATAATACTGTGAACTCCAGCATTTGGGTACTTACAATAACCAATTTCTATACGCTTTTTGAAAGAAAGAAGTAAATAAAGGATTTCAAAAGATAGGGGAGGAAAATTGCTCTTTCTATTTTGTAAACCACAGAAACTGCTTGATTTTTTAATTACTATTATTTTAATGTGTTTACAATTGTTCATCTTTGCAAATCTGTTTAAATATATTTTAGGAGGGCTCAATGGACAGCTTGTATGAGCCTGTCCCAGAACATCAAGAACCCAAGGATGCAACTACTATTGACAGCCAGGTTAGCACTCCAGCAAGCATGCATGTAAACTGTGGACCACCTGATAGGTCTATGTCTTTGGTAAGTAAAATTTAATTGCAAAGTATGCAATGTATTTTGCAAAAAACTGTTACTCTGTATGCAGGCACATGTGTGTTCAGCTTAATTGACAGTTTGAACTATTTAGGCTCTTTAGAGCCACTGTTCAAATCTCATCTCTTAGCCAATGGCCTGATTTCTGTCCAGTCTTAACAAGCACTCTTGAAAAACAGGTCATGAGTTTCTATGCAGCTAGCAGCAAAGTGAGATTAGTGCAGCTTCACTGTATGAGGGAATTTCTCTTTGCAAGTAATAGCATATGAAAATGCTGGGTACAGATATTAGTACTGTACAGGATATTGGTGTCTTTGGTTGTCCTTTTTATTAACAAAAAAATGCATGTCTAAAGTGTGAGTTGTATGAATTTTGTGATGGCCTTTGGAATAACCTTTACATTTTACAAGACCTCATTAGGTAAACATGTGAAGGAGGTTGTCGTCTGTTTTTTTTTCTTCCTAAACAACGATACCCTACTTAATCCTTTATTATTGGTATGTTGTTGGTATAATATATCATTGAGGCTTTGACAAGTACTTAACATAGTATATTAAATTTCATAATCTTTTCATTTCATAATCTCTGTTCTCTGCTTTACAATGTTCCTTCATTTCTAATTACTATCTCTATCTATAGCAATGTATGATGTGGTCTGGTGAAGGAATAAAGAGAAAACAAGGATGTTCATTATTCAAAGAAGAGAGACTGTCATCTCTTCAGAAATTATGCCAGGCTTTACCCATGCAGGCTCTGGGTTAGGTACTGGATACCTATAAGACTGCTGGGCCTATGGTGTTGCAATATCACAGAGCAGGTTTGCACACAGGATTTGCGTGGACAGAGTACTGGAGCTGGTGGGATAGGCGAATGGCTGGGGAATTGTGTCATGCACTTGTTGAATTCCTAGAGGAATGGAAATAACTTGTTCTTCTCAGACCTTTCTGCTGCAACCATCTGACTCCGCGCATGTCTCTCTCTTCCAGATAATCACCTTGGTGCTTTATATAATGGTCCTGGTTTTGAGAGCGTAGCAGTGCAGAGATCTCAAGATGATTCCTCACAGCATCAGCACAGATCTATGAGCCTGGGCTCTGAAATGTGCCCGCATTATAATTTTACTGTAGTAGGTGGAAGATGCTCTCCTGTGCGACAGGTTTCTCCACACTATGAGGTTGTGACCTTGTTATTATAAAAATGAGCCACCTCTACTCTGTTCCAGCTAAGTGTGTTTGATCATGGTTGTGAAACATGGCTGTAAGCTGATCCTAGCATGCTTGCAGTATGTCAGTTGTGCGAAGCTCTAGCTATTTGCTAGGGCTGTGTTACACAACCATATCGAAACATGCCATTCTACTAACAAAGGTAGACATTATAGTTCATCTCCTACATCTATTCAGTCTTTTTCCCCTTTGCTGTGACTACAAACCAACTTAACTTTGTCTGATAGATGTTTATATCTGCTAGACAAAGTAAAATGAAAATTGAAAGCAGATTTGTTTTCTGGTTTGTGCCCAGCATGTGACATATGACCTCCTAATATACTTTGCAGTAGATAACTACTATCTAGTATGATAGAGACACATCCCTAGCACTGTGTTTTGCACCGGGTTTTCACAATGTATAAGACTAAGAATTGAAAGTGCAGTGATAGGTTACCTCAGGCTTTTTGTTTCTTGCTTTTTCTTGTTTTGTTCTTTTTTCTGATTTGACAGCATTACTTCAGACTCTTCATTATCTTAGTACAGAGTTAGGATTCATAAATTTTTCAGCTAAGTAAAAGTAATCAACCTATTCAATACAGAACTTCATTTTTATTGAGACAGCCTAGAGAAGCAGATTTGCTACTAGTATAGGATTAGAAAATCCTGTACGTTAATCTGAACAAATTGTAGCAAAACATTTTTCACACTGCTCAATGCTGTTTTAGTGGGATGGCACCGCATAGTCCATGAAGATACGTGTACAGGAATGAATAGAAAAATCTAGCACTTAGGTTTCTGTTAACTCTTATCACACATTTCTGTCTTCCTAAAGGAGATATTTTAGTGATGGCACATTTATTCATCACTAAATTTAAATTTCATCATCAATAAAAGTAATGGTAAATGGGTAAGCAAACTGTTGGCTCACTAGATATTAACAAGAAGCTTCCTAGGACT